TTTTCATTATATTAAAGGTTCTACTTTAGTGTGAGGTATTTTGCTAAATTTGGCCACAACAGACTTTGCGCTATGGGATATAAAATTAGATAAAATCTACACATTTAGTCATCTGTTTACAATGCAATACTTGGAGAACAAACCCTGCCCTCCGAGAAAATTCTGATATTACTTTTATACGTACCACCCGAGTAAGTGTTGAGACATACCTGGCAGAGGCCTCCTTCACATGGCGTGCTCTGACATGCTTAAAAGGGCTTGAGATCAGTTTAAATAACACAAACAGGAGAGACATTTTTGTAGCAATCTATCAAATAATGAAAACTGAGCAGGCAAAATCTAATTCAAATATGGAGAGATTTTTAAGCTTTGGATATTACAATGTACGTTTCTGGTCAGACAACAATACAAAAGATGAAGAAAACACAACAGAAGATGGAATAATCTAATCTTTAAACTGTTTAGGTAGGAGGTGCTGAAACCAGAGAGGTTACCAAACATTTTCCCCTTCTTTATACCCGCAGCTGATATACTTTCCCATGGCTATTGATACTGTGGTAATCATTTTTTTCAGAGATCAGATAAGAAAGTGTGGCTCAAGAAAGTGTTTCCTCTCTTTTAGGAAGACACATTCTGGGCATGGTTATCCTCATCATTTACTAGATACTGGACCTCATTGCACAAAGTTATTGTTGCAAATTTCCCTATTCAATCACCACTGATTTATGGAAGCTATGAGGAGACATCAGTGACCTTGTGGTTTGTTAATTTCTAAAATTAGGTAACGTTTTAGATAGCTGTTTTCAGCCGCCTGTGCACTTTTCATACTCTTTCTGATTTAGCAACAATTGCAGAATCTTTCTGTATTTCTGTTCTGCAGATGACAGAACAGAAGCTCTGTGTCAAGTCGATGGTATACAGAGAGAGGAGAAACAGGGAGGGGGGGGGGGGGCACCTTCTTAGACCCACACCTCCCACAACTTCCCCTGTGGTCTGTTTGTCAGGTAGTCAATAATCCAGGTGAGTGGACACTGATGTAACACGTTAAATGTTCCGTGAATTAATCGTGTCAAAGAGGGTGAAGTGGCAAATATGATCCGTGGACCTTGAACCAGCAGGATCGGACCATGACAGTGGAATTCCATTGAGAAATTATTTACCACAATGTGAAGAACAGGAGGCTGTAGAAAAACTATATTGAATTAATGGTTTCTCATTGGTTGCTTTGGTAACATTTGCATTTGGAAAATTTGTGGTGATCCAGCTTTCAGGGATTCCATTTTTATGGCCCATCACTGGCTTCACTTTGCAAACCAGAGTCTCGTCAAAACTACGAAAAGTCATTAATGATAGCTCCTGTGCATTAAAAAATGTTGTCACAGTTTTTTTTACAAGGCATCAAATCAACTTAGTGTTGACATCTAACTCAAACTGCTCCTCAGTCAAGTGCAGGTTTGCAGCAAAAGGTAAGAATGCTGTGTTCATTACCTCAATGGACTTTGTGTCTTTGTCAATAAGAATAAACGTGAACAGATATTGTTGGTTTCTTTTCAAGAAAAGTGGACTTATGCATATGGGGTGAATACAAATTGTGTGTTTTGTGTCTGTAATATTCAATTCAGTTGAATTGTATAAATATACATGTATCACCAAATCACAACACTGTGAATCTCTGTCCATACAGCCATGGAAGCAAACCTCTGTGACAAAATGTTTCCTGTAATGAATATCAATAAAGTGAAAATTACACTCCAGACTCCCTCGAAATGGACTTCCCTGACATTTTGAAACTGGCAACGGTACAGGATTCATCACCAAATGCTGTTATTAGATATGCCAGGTGTCAGGAGCCGGTTTAAAAAGTCCTACTTTGGAGAACGTTCCCGTATGTGCTCATACAGAAATATTAGCTGTTTATGTTTACCATTTTAAAATTGGTCAAAGAACATTTTCACTATGAAAGAACACATGTTAGTTTTCTGTAATAAATCACGCTATATCTTCCTGCTCACTCAAACCTTGGGTTAATGAAAGTTATATTGTTAGCGGCATATTACCCCCAAGACAGCTACTTCTGTGTCTTAATACATATAAGAATATTAGATATTCACGTCCAATATACCACTATTGATGTGAAAACTAGATTTGAAGAGTATCTTCGTTTAATGCATTGATGCTAACTGATTTGGAAAATCTGACCGCTTTTTTTTAAGCTTCATTGGCTCTACTGGCCTTTATTTGACAATGGCACGACAAGAATGGAGGCAGAGACAGAAAATCTGTATGGCAGAGTATCTCTTTCCATAAAAGACACAACATGCTGTTCATCATTTCTGTAAAAGGCCGCTCCATCATATGTGAAAATGGTGCAATTTGTCACATGTTTTTTTTCATGAGTAATTTTACCATTATATCAGTTTTCTGACCTCTTTGAGATCTAATCGTGTTATTAACCTCACCTTTTGGCACCCCTATATTCAATGAGACATTGTTATTCTTTATTGAACATTATAGTTTGGACAAAAAAACAATGAAAAAGCAATGTTTTCCATTGGAATCACAAGAATATGGCCATGAAACAAACAAAGCTGTCATGCTTCTGTCTTGTTCCTCATTAGAGTTTTACTACAATAGATCTCATGGTTCTCATACTGATTATCATGTCCCATTCCCTTGTGGGTAAGAAATGGTATGGCCTAGAGAATAGCTAAAGACTAGTCTGACTAAGTTGAGGCCAGAACTATGTGGTCTTTCTAGAAAAAAACTGTGTCTGTGTTGTTTTTTTTTGTACAGGAAAAATTTGTTTTTGAAGATTTAGTGAAATATCCTTGAGAAACCACAACTTAAAATGTGTTATTTTTTTAAGTCCAATTAGTGGATCGCACTTCATCTCTTTCAGATCACCAAGATGACACTGTGATGAAACAGAAAGGGTGAAATGATCCAGTAATAATTTGTTTTTGTGCCAGAGGCTGTCAGACTAAGACATCGGAGTGAGGAGTAACAGACAGCTCATATGACCTGACCCTGATCTCATCAACCTGCTGCTGTCTGTTCAGAGCCTGCATTTTCACTTTAATGGCCGGGAAGTGTTACCTCGTTTCCGTTTGAAGACTGTGTGCCTTGCATCAGACTGTAACTTGCACCAAGGGTGTCAAAGTCCAGTCCTCTTTAGGCTGCTGTCCTGAAGGTTTTACACATTTTCACCTGATTCGGATCAAATCGGATCTCCTCTGGACATTGTTGAGCTTTTCTAATGGCTTTTTGATGTTAATCAGGTGAAACACAGCGGTACAGAGAGGACTGGAGTCTGACATGTGGCTTAGACCTTTCAGCTTTCAGTCAGGACTCCGGTAAAGAACACACTTTTGATAGTTTGTGTGTTTCATAGTCAGATGTGACTAAACATAGTTTCAACCTGAAGACTTCAGTAGGTTCTATGTTCAAACACACATAAAAACATGTTTCACTTTCAGCCTCGATGTCAGACTACTTTGCACCACTTGCCAGACTGGGGAAATCAAATTTAAGAACTTTGCAGTCTCAAGAATTGTTTCTGACGGTGGCAAAATTCTAATCCTCTTAAATTCTACTGGTCCATTATTAATGTAGCTCTTAAGGTTTCTTTGGTTAAACTTCACTGTTCTAGAGAGCAGTGATGGACTCAGTTTGAGCACACTGTGCAAAGGAGGACGGGACCTTTAGATTTGACTGTCTTATGATAAGGGGGGAACTCATGAAAGACACAACCGAGGATAGCTGATCTTTCCCAGTTTGGTTCTGCTAGTGATCAGGACTAGGACAATGTCAGGTAAGGACAGCTTACAGGACAAATTTGATTTTATATTTGTCCTTTTTGTGTCTACATTTTAAGAATGTGGGTGAGAAAATGGCTACAGACAAGTACTGTCATATTTTACATGCTGAGTATGTGTCGTCTCCATCAAATAAATTCCCACCAAACCCTCCATGGCGGTATAAAGCCACAAAACATCTTGCTGGAACTTGTCACTTTGAAAAATTGCAGATATACATCATTTTCTCACAGTACACCTCACTGGCAAATTGGGGTTAGAATGAAACAAGCAGGTAAACTTTCTCTTGTCGCGTTCAGGCAAAATGTGGAAAAATGTTTTTCCCATTTATGTTTAGTTGAATCTAAAACAAAATTAGAATTATTCATTATCATCATTTGTTTTGGCTCTCATGTAGGTAATGTGATATAAGAAAAGGAAAATGTCACCAAGTGTAAAGTGCTTGGAAATAAAATAATTAATCGTTATTGAATTTGTTATTTTTTACCAGAACATTTTTTGTTACTGACTTTTTTCACACACATGTATTTGTTACTTCCAGATTTCAGATCACTATCTGAACCATCTGATAATTATGCTGCTACAGGCCCAGACTGACCTGGGAGCTCCCATGATGCACTTCTTCCTCTGCTGTCCTTCCTCTCCATGCACATGTGACATAATTGTTTTCATTAACAACAGCTGAGTCTTAATATATATGTATATGTTAGATATTTTGAAAAGTGATTTAAAAAACATACTAAATGTACCAGCTCGATAGAGATTAGATAAGATTTGCAACAAAATCTCAATTCCCGTGCTAGCTGATGTGACTTTTTTTTCCCCTTCTTTTGTTGGAGTGAAAAAAAGAGCGTAAAGAAGTTTCAAATAATAATACCAAATGCCTTTTTCAGGGTCAGTAAAAAAAGCATTTTAGTCTATCTTCAAGCAACTATCACAATCAGTAGAACAAGAGAGTGTGAGTTTTAATGCTGATTTAACGGTACCAATTTCATCCAAATTTTAATAATACCAGAAATACTGAACAATTAAAACATGACATCTTACCAATCTAAACTGAGTGTCTTTTTCAGGTTTCTATAAACTCAACTGAAAAAGTGGATTGTGAGGCCTGTTTTAATGCAAAAGTTTATGATGGCTCTGTAGTTTAACTGCAAAACCAAAAAATCACTGCAAACATACTGGTGAGTTTATTTCATTTTATTCAACATTTTTATCAAAATAAATTTGACTGGAAAAAAAAAAAGTTAGAAAAATAATAGCCTATTTATTGAGTGCCAATCATTTAATCCACAGAAACAAAAGCCAGTCAGACCAACAAACTGATACACCAAACAGTCGTCAGACTAACAGCCCTGCTAAGTACTGGAAGAGATTCATATTTACACTTGAAATACAAAGTCACTCTGCACAAATTCCTTATCATAGATTATCGTAACACATCTCGGAGCTCAGTGCGATGTCCTTCCTGAAATAGTTCTCCTCCACGGAGCAGGTGTAGGGGTAGTCTGTGGGGCTGTAGTAGGGTGTGTCATCGAGGGCAGGGATGCTCTCCTGCTGGCCAAACCAGCAGCCCGGCACATAGTCCTGTTGGGTGCTGTAGTGCTGGTGGGGAAAGTAATCTGAGGGAGGAGCGCAATAGCTGGAATCCATCCTGGTGGGCGAGTCGTAGCAGGAGGAGGACGAAGAGGAGATGGAGCCCTGCGGTGAGTAGCTGTTGTGGTCCATGGGCCTGCTGATCGTTAAAGACTCGGACGATGAGGAAACAGCCTGAAAGCAGAGAGGGAGACAGGGAAAATGGTTTAGAAGCAGTAGATTTGGTTGCTGGCTCTCAGGGTGAATGAGCGATTTAAGCCATTTAAGATAAGGCATTGTATTAAAGTATTAAGCAAAGCCAGATCCATTTTCTATACAGCTTGTTCCTAAAATGGGGCCCACACATAGAAAAACAATCACACACCCTCAAAGGGGCAATCTGGAGTGTCCAGTCAGCCTAAAATGCATGTTTTGGGATGATGGGGGGAAGCTGGAGTACCTTAAGAGAACCAACACAGACAAAGGGAGGATACCTACAAACTCCACAGGGAAAGGTCCCGGTTCCCCGTGGACATGAGGCAGGAACCCTCTTACTGTGGGACAACGGTGCTAACCACCACACCACCGTGCCCCCCGTGCAAAACCAGATTTAATAACAAAACAACACGCAGACACCATGTCTACATCCCACATTGTAAATTGAAATCCATCACTGATTTGCGTAAAGACGCATATGAGAACGATCTATTCCAATTAAAAAGTAATCATTTATTACATATAAACTGAAGCAAATAACTCTAGTATCCTTTTTATTTAATCACCCTATCCCTATAAGTTGACTTTTAAGTTATGTTTATCTTATTTGACCCAAACTGGAATCAAATTCTATCCGAAAAAACATCGCAGAAACGCACGGTAAAGTTATTCATTTGCCTATTTTAGGTTTGCCACAGATATTTTGCGCAAAATTAAAACAAAAAATCACAGATGTTGAGCAACGTACCATTCCGTGTCCGTGGAAGTCTGCGCCCGAGCACCAGGGCAGCGGGGAGGAGGCCGGTAGAGGAGGCAGAGGAGCGTGGTACTGGGCGGCTCCTCTGTTTATGGCGTTGTAGCCATCGCTTGGCAACGTCCCGTCTCCAAACGGCTGATGGATGCCGCTGAATGAGGACGCTTGCATCTGGACGCAACCAGAACTCCCAGGAACGGGGAAGGGGGATGTGCGCAGCTGGAGGGCTCGCGTGCCGCAGCTGCCTGCGTCAGTTTCGGGAGCGGCCGGAGGAGGATCCACGTGCCGTCCTGCAGGAATACAATGTTAAAGTTGGAAGGAAAAAAAATCTAATCAAATAAAAAAGATGTTGGACTGGACAATCCCATTGTGTGCCGTACAATCCCGTGAGGATCCTCCCTGCTAAAACGAATATATTGATTTAAAAAAAACGCAACATAGCGCTTATTCCAAATGGGAAAAGTTATTTATTTGCAAATCTTTTGAGGACACCTGCATCCTAAAAAAGATGTGCATCCTCTATAGAAAATGGATGGATGGGAAACTTACATAACAGTGTCAAATATATGACAGATCAATAATTAAAAGCTGCGTAACAGCAATTGAAAATTAATCCGGTCCGTCATTTGTTAAATTAAGGTTAAAAACCTGTTGACATAATTACGTCTAAGCAGGGAGGACTCTTCAAAGGGAACTAAGGGTTCCTCTCTGGATTATAAGGCACACAATGAAAGTGATGTCATGACACCATCAGTCAGACATATTGAAGTGTAAGGACGTGGCACTTCGGGTTTGGAGCTGTCAATAATAGAGATTCGAACTCCAACAAGATAATTTCGGGAGTGGTTATGCCCAAGAGTCTCTGGAATCAAGACATGCCGTTACCTGCTATTATTGGGGAATGTGGTGTGCTTTTGATCTCGTGTGATTCATACTTTTGGCTCCGTTATAATTCTTCTGGAACCTTACTTTGATTGATGTCATTTTAGTCCGTTTTATAATTTTATTTTCAACCAATCGTGTGAGTATTTCCTGAGTTCAGGTGACTGTGAGAAAGGCTGTCTTTTTTTTTTTTTTTGCTTTTATGAGGACAAGCTGAATAGAAATGCATTGCATTTTTGCCTTATGTTTGATAGTGAATTTAGAATTACCACTGGAATGATAGCCTTGAGTCAACTTACGTGGTAAAGTGGTTGCGCAAAGGTCCTTCATTTCCAAATAAGCCTGTTGGTCAGCAAGAGAAGAAGAAAGGACAAGAATGATCAGAAATCCTTGCCTTTGAAATTGTCTTATGAGCATGTTTTACAGCCTTGGGCAGTTTACGATGCATTTTATAAAGCTGTGAAGAGGGAAAACGAGGCTCGTGAGGGAGGATTTACCGTTTTAAGCTTCTTTTTGTTGGCCTCCTGGGCTCTGTGCCTCTGCAGCAGCTCTTTGACTGTAAGCTTTACTCGGACACCCAGGTACACCCTTGATTTTTCTGCACAAATGGGGAAAAGCGCATCACAGTGATTCATCTTAAAAACACAATAAAGTACACTAAGGCTGTGCAGAATATCTCTCCACCCACCACCACCCTCCTCGATATCATTCCACGTTGTTTACCTCTGCTGAAATTGTCTTCATCTCAATAAATACATTTTCACGTGTTCAAAGAGAGCCTTCTGTTTTTATTCCACGCTGTCGCCTTAATCTGTTTTTGTCTCGTGGGGAAAAGGTGCACGTAGAAACAAAGTATTTGCTATAAACGTGCCGGTGGTACACCGTAAAGAGTTTTATCCACCGTGCGTAAAACGGCTAATCCCGGGTTTGATCCGCGTAGGTCTGCAGCCCACGAAACCTCCCATTGCTCCCGGCTCCCAGCAGGGATCTGCTTTTCCCAACTACACCCTTTCTCAGACTACAGGGGTTTGCGATCCGCGCTCTCGATCCACTCACAGAGACCAGGAACTAAGGAAATCGCCACAAAATGCGCAATAGTAAGTACACTCCCAATCATAAACATATACGGGTGCCGTGAAAAACTGAAAATGGATTCATAAGGATCCGTCTAGGTTTAAAAAGTCCAAGAGTTTGCTTTATAAGGTTGATCGTGCCGAGTGAAGACGTCAAAGGGGTCGGAAATGCTCGAAACACGATCTGTGTCAAATTACAAAAACGGAAAATGAATTTATTTCGTGCGCTAAAACCGATTCAAAATCTATTTGAAAGCCAAGTGTATTTATATGAACGTCCACAAAGCGAACAGGTCCATTTTTTTTTTTACCACCGCCCTGTTACCGTCATGGGAAAATGAACCAGTTATTTCAAACCGGTGTTAATGTTTCCAATCACTGAGCTCTACAATAGTCTCCGGAACGGGGTTCAAAATCATCCTGCCTTATTTCAAAATGCATGGCTGGAGAAATAACGTCGTTTGCATGGGAAATCATTTTTTTCCCCATATTTTCAATACTTGGCGTTTTGTTAGATTGCCAAAAGAACGCCTCGTATAGGTGCGTGTAATTCAAGCCTAAAGGCGTACTTTCATGGATTCGGGAGTGGGGATAAGACAAGAAGGCTCGGCTGCGAAACCTCATCTTATAAATATTCATGCAGCTAAATGCTTCTGTATGATTTGTCTTAAATATGGGAAATAGTGGCCTAAAGTCACAAGCAGACACATCCCACTCTAACGCCCCGTTACGCACAGACAGTCGGAGAAGAGTGCCTAAGCCTTATATTACCTACACTTCTTTATAATTTTGATCAAATACATCGGTTGTAAAGAGATAATTTACCTTTCCTGATGAGTTTAAACACACGGTGGTCAAATGAATTAAGTATATAAATCCATGACGCTGGATAAAGCTTATATTGAAAATGGACATTACTGTATAAAGTATCAGTAAAGGAAACAACTGGAAATAAACATCTTTAAGTTTTACTAAAAATTGGATTAAGTATAGGCCTATGGTCAAATGAATGATGTAAATTTGTTAAGAGTTTAACCTATACAGCCTACACATGGCCCCAAATCAACTCTTGTGTCTTGCCATTAAATTTGTCACTTATACAACTCATATAACTACTTTTTTGTTTTTGTTTTTCTCTTTCATGTCTAACAGGAATAATGCCCAAAACCAATTTCATGATGAAAATTCGAGTGGAAACTCACCAGACATGGTGGCTGAGATGAAGGAGAGGATCCCTGGAGAAGACCTGTGGAACTCCACAACGTCCTTTTCTGCCTCAGCAAAAATGGCCAAGAACGAAAATTGAGCAAAAGTCTCCAAAAAACTCAACACAAATGTCCTCCAGCCGACTCAGAGCATACAACAATATTGTAATATAGCTGGGAACATATTAGTTTGAGATTTTCTCCCTGCATGCCTACTATTTAAAACCCCTAGAACTCAATGATTTGACAATGATTTGATTGCGCGTTACTTTCAATTTGAATATTCAGAGGCAACTGTCTCAAATCGAATTTACAATAAAAATGACCTCGCAGGGACATTGTATAGTCCACGCTTTAATGTAATATACCAATATTTCATAGTTGGGTTTATAAAAAACAACACTTTTATTAATTTTATCCTCATTTTCCACGTCAGAGCATCACACCCCTCACAAAACTCTGCAGCTCTGGGGGCTTCTTTTGCACGGCCGCCACTTCGAATTCTACGTTTTGCCTGCGACCAGAGGTCCACGGCGAATTGGACTTTTGGACAAAATATCGAAAGACGATGCTTTTTTCTGATTAAAAGACACAGCACAAAAAATAGTGGCATTTGAGGGGGCGTGGCAAAGGGCAGCAGCCATCTTTGGCATCGCAGGCCTCCGACTCTCAGGGAAGTTGGTTGGAGTGGTCTGAGCTCTCACCTGCTGCACCCTGCAGGGTGGAAGCTCATCACTTTAGAAAGTTACATTAGTCAGAAAGCTATCTATTTGCAGGATATGATAGGTATTTGAAGAATTGTGCTTTTCCATGGTGAGGAAGTACATCTTAAAACTAAGTGATAAATCACCATCATTATAGGGTTGTTACCGTTTGTAAGCGGTTTTAACTTGAGCATTAAAAGCAGCTTTAAAACATTAAATGTGTTCTTCTTCATCTTCTTCATCTGATTACATTGTAGACATTTTTTAATCAAAAATTGTTATTTTAACATTTTATTTGAGTGCGAAAAAAAAACATTTAATCTGAATAACATATTAAGTATAACGAATTAATGGAATTAATTGACAGTAAAATATCCTAACTAGGTCCCAGTTTAATTACTCTTGTAATTCTAACTATTTTTATGTTTATTACAAAGCATCACCATGCACAATAAAACGCTTATTACTATCCCTGTTTCAACAACAATAAAAAAAAAACAAATATTAATAGTCGGTAATGCGTACTTTGACCCATATGCTTTTCTAAAAGACTCTTTGACTCCTGGGGTCCCCTCCCTGCGCTGTCAGACCTATCCCAGTCCTCCTGAGAGCCGGACCCCCGGGACTCCTCCAACTGTGGAGCGGCTCCACCTAGGGGCCGAAAGCCAGACCTCCCGCTGGCCTGTGAAATGCGCACAAATACACATTACAGTGTCAATATGGAACTTCGTAGTATAGTGTTTTATTAGATTTCACAAATAATAGATATAGAAAATGGTTGACAGGTGGTGACAGAGCATACACACGGTAACTAGAAACTGAAATGTGCACTGGGCAACAGTCCTTTGGATTTGCATAAACACAACATGCACTCTGATTATGGATGTGGATCTCAAACTTCTACTGTCACATCAAAGCATTTCAGGCCTCCTCATTCCAATAAAATGGGTCATATTTGTAACTAATTTTCTTCAAAATTACTAAAATGTCACACAATGTGAAATCACATATTTTAGAACCATAATAATTAAGGTGTGAGTCCACTTCACATGAAAAACTAACATATTTCCATCAAATTTTTCAGATTTGTGTGATATACACGGCTTTACTGAGAGGATGCATGTCAACATCTTAGTTCATTTTCTGTTTTATTACATGAATAAATGTGAGCTGACAATGGATTTGGATCGAAGCTGTCTATCTGCCAGACTGTGGGAGCAAAGGTCAGGTTTCTACAATAATAATAATAAAAAATAATAATAATTTGGCCACTCCAACATGACCTCTTAGCAGTAAACTGAGAAAGAGCAACACAGTGTGACCTTAAAGCAGAGGTAGACATGTGTTTTTATCATTTATGGGAATGCCTTTGTGCCACCCGGGGATTCCAACATGAGAACTTTCAGAAAGTGTCATCATGATTGTGACAAACTGGGTCAAGGTTGCAAAGACCAAACCAGTTGTGCGAACTTTCTGATAATTTTTTTGCCATTTTATGTCATTTTTTTTTATGTTTGCATGTTTATCTAAACATAAACATACAACACACATTTTTTCACATGTAATTTGTTTTATATTCACACTTTTCTTTGATGATTTAAACTCAATTTAAAGGTAAGAAATAAATGATCAAAGTATGGACATTTAATCAAAACACAGGGTTTCAATAATGCATTTACTAGATGGAAAATAATGCACTTGGTGAATAGAGTTATAAATAAAGACTTAAAGAACTTACTTTGAGGATGTTTCAAAGCTCTAAAATATTGAACAGCAGATTTTATTACAGACAGAAAAACAGTATTATCTTTGTTTAGCTGACCAATTTATACCACTTTTGTACACTATCGCATAGTAAACATTCCTACTCCCATTTACACAATAACAGTGGTACTGTATTAATGATTTCTTCATGAACAACCAAGATTGTATGGTCACTTCCGGACGCGACTTGATCCTGTCAGCAGAAGTCAGAGCTGTTTCTATTTTTTTCTGACCATGAAGAGCTGATTTTTCTTTATAAGTTTTTATAGTAATGAGTCATTTCATGTCCAGCAGTAAATATGTTTGCCCACTGTCTATAAAATGTCTTTCCTGTCTACCCTTTAGCTCATACTCAGGAACTAAGAAAAACATAGCTATACTATGTTTACATATGTGTATGAGACCATAAAACCTTCAGATTAACCAGAAGCAAAGCAGTAACTCTACACCCGTCTTATTCACGCGAGCACAGGGAACTTTCTTCATCGAGTGCACCATGCTCTTTCCCGAGTAGTTTAAGGTCCATGTGCCAGGAGCTTTTGTACAGAGAGTTTTAATGGTATTTAGCATGTGACACGTTAACAAAACTATTACAATTCCTCAGTACATACAGCATAAATATGAATAAGATACTTCATTCGTCAATCCTTTAGACAGCTCGGAGCTGTTACAGACTGGTATTTAGAATAGAATCGTCCCCCTTAAATAAAAAAAAATCAAACTGACATAAAAAATTTCCAGCAAAACGGCTCTGAGAGAGACAGTGTTTGCTGACTTCATTGTTGAATTGTCTTTGAAACTCAATCTTCTTTTTCTATTCTCACTCTCGGACTTCCTTTTTCCAGTCAATAGGCCCTTCTGATCTCGTAAGGTGACCAGGCGCTGACCCCGTCCTCCTTTGCCCAGGACGAGTGGGTGTCGGTGCCGGTGGGGAGGCTGCTGTGGCCCTCGGCCACCTCCTCTGTCCCCATCTTGGACACTAGGTCAGTGACGGGGCTGCTCATGTACGGAGGGCAAGGGAAGGAGGAGGAAGGGACCGGGTACGGGGCGCTGGTGGTCAGAGGGTGGTAGTGGACGTCCTCCAGCGAGTGGAGAGTGAAGGGCTGGCCGTTGGGGACGGGGCCCATGGACGAGCCCCGGCTGGGGGAGCGGTACTGGGAGGGGCTCCCCTGGGGTTCGGGGCTGGACATGGAGGGCTGAACGGCGGTCAGGCCCTCTGGACAGAGAGCCTCCACCTGGGATACCGGCTCCTGGCCCGACTGCTCCCATGAGTCCCTCTGATGCAGGAAAACACGAGAGAGGAAAACATGTACAGTTAATTTTTTGGAAAAAAAGTCAACTCAAAAGACCGTTTTTTTGTCTTTTACATCTTGCTTCGTACATTTCCTGACCTCTACTTTCCTGATCATACTCTAACAGTCCTAAAATAGGGAAAAAATGCAATTGATTGTTCCGTAACTTCATTTTATTTTAAGACGCAGTTATAATACTCTATTAGTGATCTTCTTTTAGTATTTTGAACTGGCATTGTTCTTGAATATGATGATAAACGGGGGGCCAAATATCTGTGATAGAAATGATTATGCAGTAATACTTTAAAGCATACTGATCAGATACCTGATGCGTCAAAAGCTGTTTTCTATTTTTCAGTTGTAATAGGAGAACATCTAGATCTAAATATCAAAAGAGATTTAGTCAATCCATGACAAGATTTCAAATTGAATTTAAAATATTTTGGTGAAAATTGTGTAAATTATTTTCGGTATATATATATACATATATATATATGAATATTAATGACGAGAAAAAACCTAAATTAGAAATTGTCTCGCAAAATAATACAAACTGTCCTTAACTTAACTGAGGAATGTCTCAATAGTTGCATAAAAAGGGAGGATTTTCAATTTTCATTTAATTTCAAATGTGGATTTCATCAGCGCTCAAATGAGATATCTAAATTTATTTATAAGATAGAATTGTGTTTTTAATTAGATTTTTTCAAAACAAAGCTGTGAAGTTTGGATGTAATTTAAATGCTTTATAAAAGTGCACACCTTTTTCCAAAAATGATGGCAGAATATTAAAGCTTTCATCAATTTTCCGGTGCACTCACACCTTTATCTATACATGGATATATCGTAGTTTTGTTCTTCTTTTGTATTTTTTTCTGTTGTATATAAAGTGATTGTGTCAGTTTTTTTTAAAGAGTTTAATAAAGTAAATGAACAGTTCCAGCAACAAACACTACGGGGTACTTTACATGTGTTTCCCATGCCACATACTTTAGTCTTTGTCAATAAAGCTCAGAAACTGTGTAAAAAGCTGTTAATAAAGCTTTTTTTTCTTTGACATGTCAGAAAAATTGAAGAAAATCCTGTTAATCCTCACATCCTGAAGTGTTGGCTTCAAACCACAGTAGTTTAAAAAGCTTAAAGACACAAAAGAAGAAACTGCCATCACGTTTTCAAGGCTGTACAATTGTTTCTCTCATAATACTGTTTAAATCCATTTCGGGTATTGAGTACATTCATACAAAAGGAGTTTACATTAAGATTGTGGGGGCTGATTTATGGAATGCAAAACTGATCGTAAACGTGTGAAACTCTATTACAAAACAGTCTGCGGAGGATCCAGCAGAGGGTGCTACTGAACGACAGATTTACATCCCTCTTCTGCGGAAAAGGTTTTTTACTTCCATCCAGAAGTGGATGGATGCTTTTCACAGACATGCTGCACAGTGTTTATAATACTGCAAAGATGACCGTTGACATTACCAGATAACAAATCAGCCAGCAGGCCAACATTACAGTGCTGGACTGAGTTAAATCGCAATTTTTCAAGGAACGAAAAACATCGTTTGGATGTGAGAGGAGTGGAGCAGGGCATAACAGGATGAGGAAGAAATGGTTATGTTAATTTTTCCGCATAAATCCAGAAATAGTCCTGTACTGCATGCTGATGGCTAAGATATATACATGTTTGGCTGTAAGCTAATTCATTATAGAACCCACTCCACTGTAATAATGTGGAGTGGATATGGGTTGTGCTCCTAGACCTACTAAAAAACCCACAATTTAACATAACTTGAATGGATATTGGACTGTGGGAGGAAACCAGAATACCTGTAGAGAACCCACTCGTACAATGGAAAATGCAGTTAAACCGATTTCGGGGTTAGAATATAACTCAAAACCCCAGTATCAGTTCTTTATTTATTTGGAGGAATGAAAATGTTTATTCATTTTTTATTTCCTGCCTTATCATGCAGGTGTATGGATCTAATAAATATGTTTTTCATTGATAGCAGTCCCTAAGTTGAGTTAATCATTAGATTCTGCCATTTTTGTTAGCATCAAGTATCACAATAAAACATTAATCACCTCATTCTTCCTGCTTCCAGTAAGTTGGAAAGTTTTCACCAAATCTTTTATCTTAGTTTGCTGAAGAACAGCAAACATTTTCTTGTATGTAACATTCATGAATAGTATTATGAGTTGAAATTAACAAATTTCAACCACTTTTTGACACGACAGCACACTTTGAAAAAGGGGGAGGTTACTTAAAAAAACACAGAATGTGGGGCATGTTTCGGGCATATCTTTTTGATAGTCCACACCACACATGAACACGATATGAAGATATGAGCTGAGGTCAAAATATGTGCTCAGTGCTTTTTGTCTTTGCGTTAGTAATTGTGAGTCCTACTTAAAAAGGCAAAGAAAGGCACCTTTTGGCATTCCTCTGAGTCAGCATCCCTTAAACTGAAATGTAAAAACATCCCAGACTTTGCTGGTTCTTATGCCTTCTTTTTTCAAATTAAGATTAATTGTAAACCCCATTCAGAACCATGTGTTGTATAACAAACTTATTTTTTATTGTGACTTTCAACCCTGTTCGTTTACTTGGCGGCAACCTAAATGGAGACACGATCCAGAGACCTACCAGGAACAAATGCGAGGACTCTCCGCTGAAAGACGGCAGCAGGGAGGATATAGCTGAGGAGGGCAGGAAGGAGCCCCCGGAGCTGGAAAAGGTGGCGGCGCTGCGGTATTCGCCGAAGGTTTCCGGGTAGTAGCTGTCGATGAGGGAGGAGTAGCTGCTCATGGCTGAGGGCTCGCAGCTCAGGGGCTTCCCCCCCAAGGCAGAAGAATAAACATCTGGGGAAAACTGCTTGCTGGGCGAACAGAAGTCCGTGTCAGATATGAACGGACGTCTCATGCCGTAATAGCTGGACAGCATATGGGAACCTGAAAGGAGCACAACGGGAATGATGTCATCATTGTTGTCGTGGACGCAGTGATTCAATTCAATTCAATTTTATTTATACAGCGCCACATCACGACAACAGTTGTCTCACAGCGCTTTCCAAAACAGAGCAGGTCAGACCCTACTCTGAAGTTAATTACAGAAACCCAACAGTTCCCACCATGAGCAAGCACTAGGCGACACAGGCAAGGAAAAACTTCCTTTTAACAGGCAGAAACCTGGAGCAGAACCATGGCTCAGGGTGATGATGAACAAACCGAGCCCCTGCAGGCCTCAAGTACTGTAATAATGTGAGCCTTTATTAAGTAAACAGTGGGCAGGGTGGGAAATACTGTTGACATGGGCCAGAAAAGTGTGGGTGGGTCATCATCCCACCACCCCCCCCCACCTCTGAGTCTCACCTGGCATTTGGACAAATGAAGGTGGAGTGGTTGATCCTCCCTGTGAAGAGAGACACAATGCTTCAGATTGCTTTGTAACAAAAGACACACATTTTAAAAACTTGAATGGCTTTGGAAATGCGGACAACTTTACTAGAATATGAAAACCTTTGTTTCTTGAATATCGCTGACATGAATTTAGAGATTGCAGAAGAAGACGTTTGACTTTTTTAAGGAAATAAGGATGTTACTTTTTGTCTGTGACCGACTATTTACTGCTTCCTTACTACCTAAGGTGTTTAGCTGCCTTTAGTTGAACAGATTTAAAAAATAAAAAAAAACTTTACATTTTAAATTCTCACATAATTCAAAATATTTTTCCCCGAATGTGTTAATCTCAGACTTATTTAAAGGAGATCCTCTACAACAGTGAGATCTGCATAGTATACGTGCACGGCAATATTTAAAAAATCTCATCGTTACTGGTCATTTTTTAGATTTTCTGATTATCCGCTTTAAGCAGTCACAGATTCAACTAGAGTCAAAGCGATCTGACTGCAGACACGCTGCCCAACTCCAGCAGGACAGAGCAACATGGCCTTGTGTTTGCATATGGCTAACATGAAAGAGTTGATATTTAGCCTGTGTTGGCTGGGATGCAAACAAATTTTGAGGGCTGAATTTGAATGTGATTTGCCAGTGCTAAGACTTCCTCATGTGGCCCAGGTATGGCTCAGTGCATCTCTGAAGGCTGCGTATGGAAATCAGCTCGCTCAAGCTCTGAGTCAGATAGTGTGTCTGTATGTGTGTGCAGGGGGATACACGGTAACGATAATGAATTTATCTAACCTCGTTTCAGCAAAGAAAAAAACCTTCCCTCCTATGCAAAACTTTTCAGTTCTTGTGTTAAGTTTCGTAATATAACCCTTGTCATATTGAATAATTTTTTATTAAAGTTGTGCATGTACATACTGTAAATTGATATATTTCAATGAAATATTTCACCTAAACATATGGCTAAAGGTCATTTACAGCATATGTAAAACAAAAACCTTTGTCTGCACGCAAAAGGACGGGACTAGGTCAAGTTGGAGGAGCAGGGAAAGAATATTTGAAGCTTAAAATTGTTTTCATTTCTGCATTTGAATCTAATAGCAGTTTATACATGTTTGCAACAATAATTAACTCTATCTTTCCTATCACAATAATCGCTCTGTAGTACACAAGTTTCCACATAATAATAATTTAATTGTAGTCTTTTATTGAATTATAGTCTATAAATTGCACTTTTATTTCTAATTATATCAGCTGATTTATGTAATAGCGCCAGTCTGGATATACCTCAAAAGAACCTTCCAGAGGAGAGTCAGCCAGTGAAACGACATGATGTAACATCTTTGTACTCTCACTGTAGCTGTTTGTGTTCCAACATGAGCAGACTTGCTCTGCGGTTGGGGTTTACTCTTCTCTCTCAATGGCCTTTTATTCCCTGAGATAAAAGCGGTATTAGCTATCATAAGGATGTAGCATGCTATAGTTACTGTATACTTCTGCTCATTACAATTGCATAGTGAAAACTATTTAACATTGAATGCCTTTTCACCATAAGACAGACAAGATTGCAGTTGAAAAATACTTTTACAAGATCACGGATTCATACGGAGATTACTTTATACAACATTTAAAGTGTGGTGTTCAGAAGTAAAACCATTTTTAACCTGTGACCAGGGATTGCAATGCTGAAATAACTTCGGGATGTTAAACAATTAACTGAAGCTGCCCAAAAACCAACAAAATTCCACAATCCACATTAAAACTATTTAAGAGAAATCCTCTTTTATCAAAATTGCCATTACTTGTACCCAAAATCCACCTCTGGGTCACTGAGTAGGTATTCTGTGAGGCTGCGACTAGTGGCTTTATGCATTACATATGCATAACTTGTTTTCAAGTGTTTTTTTCAAGTGTTTATATCTACTTTTAGTTACTTTTAACGCCTGAATATGGGGCAACCAAGGTTGCCCAGATGGAGCATATGGTCACACTGAAGTTTCTAATACATCCAATTGAATTCTTTGCAAGGGGACACAAAGGAAATGTCTGAGTTGACTTATACATATTGACCTGAAGGATAGAGTTAAACTTGCATAAACAGATGGGATGTTTTGTTGTGCCAGATGTTAAAGAATTAGATATTAAGAAAAAATATACCTTAAAATAGACCATTAATCCACGTGGCTGTATTTCCAAACAATATTTGTTATACAATATAATTACTCCTGCAATGAAATGCATCGTATTGTTTCAACTTTTAGGTGGATAATTCAAATATTCTTTTAAAAATTGTCATTTTATCATTCTGAGATGAGGAATAATAGCAAGACTAGCAAACTGCAGATTCTATTTTCCCTAAGTGTGTGTCTCTAACTCATTTGTGAACCCACTGACCTCTGGCACATACATTTCCCCCTTCTTTTAACTAGTTTCTGTGGCATTATGTTTAAATTGTATACCTTCATACATACTTTCGTGTCAAGACTTACTTATATGGAGGCTGAGCTGGTCTGAAGAGTATATGCGGTGTGTATAATTCCATCTAACTGCACGGATCCCTAATTACCATGTAAATCTTTCAAATAAAACAGCGGAACTTCCCTAAAGCAGTCACCCAGCAGCCCTGGTATCGGTTGAGAAAAATGGAATAGTCCCTCCTGTTAAATGTTTTCATGGCTGTTTGCTTTTGGCTTCTGCTGGAAACTGTGCTAAATACCTATGTAATTTTCTATAAACCAGTTTGAAAATTTCTGTTTACAACCGAGTCATAGAATATGTTGAATTATAGCTGGATCTCATCCAACTTGTCGCTCATCTTTAAAAAAATATATATTCTGACATGACGCACATATAACTCATCATCTAAATTGACAGTAACTCACCTGTATAACAAAGACACAGCAGGCAAAAAGGAGGGCATACTCTAACTAAATTTAACACTTTCCCTGTGGTTACGAAACTACATAAAACAAACAACAGCCTGCCTTCAGGGTAGTTCAGAAAGCACCTTTAAAATATGTAAAGAGGGGATAATTTATAGATTTAAGACACGTTGGATATGAAGTTATTAAGTTGGTCATTTAACGAACAATATCAGTGCAGTAAACAGTAATATGTTTATATTCTCGTCTGGTTTTAATGAAAGCAATCTTAACGTCATACAAGGTAAGGGATTCTCTGTTTGTTATGCAGAATAATGTGACATGATGATACCAGCCAGTACTTTTTCTTAAAGCGGAATTGATATTCGTCAATGTAAATACTTAATTTCAGGCATGTCTCTTTCCTGTATTTGGAGGCTTCTCCTTGTGTTTTTTTTTTTTGTCTCTCACATAATCCACAAAATAGCCCGAGTCCCAGCCAGCGCTGATGTCTGCGGAGTGGACATGCCGACACTCCGCAGCCAACAAAAGAGCAAACACTGTGCTGTAAAGGCCTTTTGACAGGCAGTTTGTGGGAGATGAAAAGCCAGTCTTGCATGTGCATGCAGAGGTCTAAGGCACAGCCAGATTTCTCTCACTGTTTGTGTATGAGTCTGTGTGTGTGTGTGTTGTTGCCTCAGTGTCTGTGCGCACACACACACCGAGGCAACAATGGGAGGTTTGTCTGGAGCCTGTTCATGCCAGAGGACAATATCGGCTGGCAGGTGTGCGTGGATCAAACTTTGCATAGGCGGCCTCCTGCGCTGCCTTTTTTTTTTCTGTCTCTCCCCGTGTCCACCCTCAATCCTACCACCCTGCCTCCACCTCGAGCCGGAGGGGAGTTTTTGGAAGATCATGGCCAGTGCCATTACGCGCATTATGTCAATGCTCTTTTGTGAGGTGAGAATAGGACTCCGCGCTTTGTGTCCCCGCAGACGCTGTGTTAAACTATTTACTGACGGGCTTTGCAAGCCCTTGAGGGGGAGCAGAGACAGAAGAAGGGGAGCAAGGCACAGGTGGTGAATGGGTTTGACCACAGGATCGTTAGCGCACAAAAACGACACAAAATGTAAACAGAGAGACGAGATGATTCTGAAAAGCGCTGCCTCAATTGTGTCACCAACAGCATGTCAACTGTTGGCTTTGCCATTACGTTTGGGAGAAAAATGAGGCCGAGACGGGACAGGACAAAAGGCAGGACGGCGTCAAAGAGGTTGTGCTTACGCTGTATCTCGGTCCGTTCGTCTGACGGGATCGTTTCTCCGCCAGCAGGTCTTTAACCGTGTGCTTGACTCGAACGCCTTGGTAGACTCTCTTGGAATATTCTGCGAAGAAAAACAGAACTCCACATGTGATACAAATCCAGAGACAGTTCAGCTTGTCACACAGCTTCATACAAATTTTCATCCATCCCCACAATTGTGTGTTCATTTGAATGCTTCACAGTTTTATGCATAGAGGTGAATGAGTCTTTGGGATTGGTGTGTAAATGTCATGGAAATTGCCTTTGGTTTGGAAGATGCAAATGGACTGCTAAAAAGAGGCAATTACCTACAGACACTAGCTTAAAGCTCACAGTAAGCAAACATTTCAATGGTGTAAGGGGGAATATATGTGCAAGGTAGAGGGACATACGAAGACAATTAAGACTTATTCACAAAATAAGAACATGGTAATGACTTCTCAAATTAGTGCTGGTGTGATTCGGAGACATTCCTGGGGAGCAGAAGTCCAAATTCAACAAGAATGCAAACTTTATCATGCAGAAGGAAATTGCATGCAAAAGAAACTATGTAAAAGACCCCAGCTGTTTGAATGGGTCTTTAAGATAACACCGAACGTTGCACAACTCAGAGGTTTATGAAAATGTCAAATCTGTTTTTGTTGACCATTTTTCCCAGAAATAAGTCCATTGAATTGGAAAGACTGCATTTTAAAGCAAATGCAATGGATAATATAAATAAACATACAGACAAATGTACAAGATAGTTACGTAAAATCTATTTAGAACAATTCGAGAAAGCTACGTGTTTTCCAATATATTTCCACAGGACAGAATTTTAAGAGATACTTGCTTATCCCATTAAATATTAGCTGAAATACTAACTGTACAGAACCCACATACCTTTTTCCTATACAAGCAAAAAAAGTCAAAAGTCATCATGCAATAAAACTAGAAAAAACTTACTTCCACAAGTTCAAATTTACTTCAAAATACGATGACAAGGAAGAGCACCTTGTCTCTGAATGAGTTAATCTCACCTGTGTCCATGATGCTGCTGAACTGTGTGACGCACACACACACACACACAGGCCTCTCTGTTCTCCCTCAGCTGTATTTGCCTACAGTAGCTAAATCCCAGTGCGCTGCACCATACTGAGAGCCGCGCGGCGATGGGAGCTTTAACCACGCTGTCGGGAGGGCAGGGACACATGGAACAGGTCACCTCACACTGCAGACATGAGGAGGTAGCTTTTCAAAATGATCTTCCTCTATTTGTTTAAATGCAAATATTTGGTGGGGACGTTTTTTCGACTATTTGCATCCACAGTCAAGATTAGGGGCTGGAAGCATCGGGAGTATGAAAGAAAGACTGGCCAGCAGCTTGTCACTCCTCCTTCATTTCCTACTCATCATCCAAATTCAAAAGGATATATTGTTTCCACATTTTTTGATTTATAGCTGCGGGACTGTGGGAGGGAATGTTTTTTTTATTTCAGTTTGAGGTTTAAAAGCTATCAAAGAAAGAAATTCCAAACCTGGCAAGAGCTCGGAGTCATAAATAATCTTTTTGTTTTGCGGATTGAGACTTATTGTGTAATGATCACCTCTTACAGATTTCCTAAATTTGTGTAAAACAATTTATGTACAACCACGTGAATTATCTTTCTGTGGCAGAGGATGTTTATTTTTCAATTTTATTCGCTTCAATGCTTCCATGATAGTTTGTATGTTGCCTGAGGGTCTTGGCTCTCTTTTCAATAAATCAAAACCAAGCACCAAAAGGAGATGGGGTTATATAGCGGGCTGGTAGTTGGTGGAGCTCCAAGAAATAAGTCCACTGCACGTTTGTAAGGTGTGTGAGGAGGTTGAGAGAATGCCTCATCCTCTCTAAGAGCAAAACCCAAATCATGGTATTCGGATGAGACAGAAGACCGATCTTGCAGAGTTCCTGGTCTTGAGTAGGCGCTAAAAAGTAGTAGTAGCGCCTATTTCAGGTCTCAATTTCCTTACGTGTTGCCATTACTTTAGCATAAACTTGGCAACCCCAGGATGACAGGTGAACTACTGACAAGGAAAAGAAAACTGGATGAATTGACGGGGGTTACCTGATATGATGAGTGTGACAGGTGCCGTTACGATCATAGACTGTTTCCCATTTAAGATGGAAAAAGAGATAGGCATGGGTAAAGGACAAATGGAAAGGGCAAGTCGAGTGGCTGGGTGTGTGTCTGTTAGCTTGGCGCCAGAATCTATTGATGTGTCAAACTCCTGACAGACTGGAGAATAACAGGTTAAATTAATTGTGGAGTATCTTCCACCAGGTATCTACCAGGGGTGGGTGGGTGCAGCTTTTTGGCTAAACAGGGTAGGAAGGGATTTAATGTCCCAGAGTTCCATAGTGTATACATACATGCTTACAAAGCTGAGTTGTTCCTTAAGGAGAGAGTAAAGTTTTTCGTAGTTGCATAGGTCCAATGATCTTAGGATCGTGTAAGGCATTCCAGAGTAATGTTTGGGGTGTTTCCCTCATTCATTGGATGAAGCGTGAAATTCTTCAAGCTATAAAAGAAAACACTGAATGAGAATGCCCTTGTAACCGCAAATATAACCAGAACAAGAAGTTGTGGGAGAGGAGGTGTCTTGAAATACGCCTCTTCAGATAGTGATCCTATCGCAGCCATGCCTTGGGGTGAAATACCAGGGGAAGGATCAAAGTGAGGAGGAAGCAGAGGAGTATTCATTAACATCACCATCATCCACTTGATCCAATCACTGGGCCATTTGTGATTCTCATCCAGAGAGCAAACAGCTTTATCAGGTTCACTGATCATAAAACCTTGTGGGGCCATCTCACACGTCCGTTGAGTCCATGGTAGCCAGATTGTTCCCTCATAGCATGAAGTGCCAACAGGTGAGTGGATTAAAAAGCAAGAATCAACCAAAAAAGGTAAAAGTCTTTAAGAAGCATTGGAGGGGATGCAAGGATGGTCCTGGGTAAGGGTAAGTGTCCTTGCTAAAGGAAGAGGGAGGAGATGTTAGTGATAGTTAGCCAGGTAGGTCTCAGGTAAGAGTCATGGTTCATTGATTCTCGGAGTTGTCTGAACTTAGTAAGAGGTCTGATGACTGAGGCGTGGGTGTTCTGAGTTGATCGAACGTAAGCAGGCAGTTGGTATTTGTGGTTCTGACAAGACCAGACAGGCGACAGCTTGATTACCCATGCCAGGAGAATGGACCAGTAACTAAAGTGAGTCCGGGGGTTCAGAAAGAACATGCAGAGTCCACACAAGAAGGAGCTTGAAGATCTGTCAAGGTGTACCTGCCCCCTGGCCAGTGACAGCAACCCTTCTAGGAGTGAGCAGTTTATCCAACGGATGAGTGGAAGATGCCTCATTTAACAGGAACGATGTCTACTTTCTAAGAGGGAGCAAGCCTTTCATTCAATCATTGAAGCGTCCATTTGTTAATTTCTGGACACAATTGATTCAAAATAACTTTTTTGTAACTGTAGAAATGATAAAGCATAGTGAAATTGAATGAGTCTATTATAATGGCTTCATTCACATAAACAATAAAGTCAAAACTAACAACCAATTCAAGCCACTATCCTGAGCCAGCGGGGGTGCTCTTCTAAGAAGCTTAATAGACATTTGACTTGTTTTTATCATTCAAGCGAAAAATGTCCAACATTCAGGCAAATATCTTATTCTCTATATAGTTGTAAGAGATTATTCAGATTTCATGACATAATATTTTTGTTTATAATTAATTTTTTTAACATAAAGTGAGCACAGATTGTGGACGGGCTTCTTTGGACAAGACAATGAAGCAGACGTTGTTATACCAACAAAGCACAAAAGTACCACTAAGTAATAAAATAATGGCGAATATTAATAGTAGTATTATCAAGAGAACCCTGGAAATCAACATTCAATCTACTAATGAGACAAACTTATTAGTAGCTACAGTAACATATGACACCTACAAATACTGCCATAGTCATAATCTAAAATATAATCCTAATTAACAAGGGATTTGTTTCTAATAATGCTTTGTCTATTAGATTCCTCCAAAGTTTGACTTCATTTATTTGATGCAAAAACATTTGCATTCATTGACATAATTTTGGAAATAGTTTGGCTTGTTTTTTTAAGAAAAAAAAAGTATCTTCAGCTAATTGGCATTAGTGGGCATTTATTAATGCATACGTCTTTTTAGGTTGAACCTTAGCATTTAAATCTGGCTAAGTCTGTACTTGAACTGGACTATTGCAACACTTTCATTTGTTTCTTTTTCACACTTTCTGTTTGGATTTGCCGCTGACCTTTGGATCGTTGTGCCGTTGATTAATCAAGATTCAGCCAGCTTTAGCTGTCAGACAGATGCCCTCACATTTGCCTCAGGACTTGTTTCACATTCAGAGGAATTTATGATAGACTCAGAACAATATTTCCACCTAATTTTAACTCTTAAATCTTTTACAAAAGTTGGCTAGGACAATTAACTGTGCAGTCATGAAATAATTTAATATTTGACAGATTTCAATCAGGATTTAGGCGACACCAAAGAACAAAAAGAGAGCACTTTGAAAACGATCAACAGACAAGTGTGTGAACCCCACTGGTTATATGAGACCAATGAAGGATATCCCGAACAGATACACAAGCAAAGTAAACTGAGAAAAATATATAGTTTCAGTTAGATAACCAGAGACAATCAACATACCAGGATAGGTCTTGTGGGAGATTGAAATTCAGACCTTAACATCTAGGACTGAAGAGGAGTAGCCAAAAGTTCCACTGGTATGTTAAGTTCCTGGGGTGAATTAAGTTTTGTTACTGTCCAGAATCTAAAGTTGCCAAAAGATTATGCTTTGACCCTTCTACTCAGGAAGAGACAGGTAAAGTGAGTCATGGAGGAATCCATTTTTGTCTCTCACCCACCAGTATCTGTGCAAGCTTACTCTGTCTTTTGGGCAAATGGGATACGCAGTGATGCACATTTGAACTGCGAAAAATGCACTGCTTATCCATGATCCTGCATTATAGGGCTCAGCAATGCTCACCTGCATTGCCTCAGTTCAATTGTTAGGATGTGATAATGCAGGTAAGAACAGCTCGGTGGAGGCTGTCGCTGTCTTAGTTTATTTACAGGTATGGTGGGAAAATCTAAGAGGCGAGGGATGAATTAATGTAGTCCAGGTGGATTTGTAATAATACGGTCTGTGTATTGAACCTAACCCCCTTTCCCTCCCTGTTATCAACCCAATGTTTTGCAGGTGTTGCCTTTATCTCTGCCTTCAGACTTTAACTCAATGGGGATGCTGCCACATAATGCTCCCACCAACGTTTTCTTTGTCGTCAAGCATCTCTGAGATTACTGCAGCTGTGGTGTCCACCACCTGATTATTTATATCAAAACATGTCCCAGCAGGTGTTGATATGTAAGGCTGCATAAAGGTCTTCCAGAAGACCTACAGAAGGTGTATCATCTCTTAGGCTGAGCAAGGGGCTCAGCCTCAGCCCCAAAGAGGCTTATGCTCAGTGGTAAGATGTATACAGTACACATAATATTTATACTTGCGTATACATTTAACATTCTGTCAGAGGTTTGCAAACCTGCAACAAAACATAATTTTTTTTATTTACATTGTGGAACACATGAAACTGATTTTTGTACACGCGGACATGAAAATGACTGCATATTACCCCACCTAGCAAACAAAAAAAAGAAAAAATATACAGTAACTGTTCAGATCTGTATTCAGGAGTTTTTAATTGGATCACATACTAAAACAACACAGCACCTCTGAGTCAGTCCTGGAGTTTCAGGGAATTACAACAGCTGACTTCCTTGTCACTTGCCGTACTGGGACCCTTCATGCTTCATGCTAGCAGGGCGATGTTATGTGTGCTCAATGCTGTGTGAATTTTTATCAGTTAGTGACTCAAAGATAAGAGGGATGCGCAGCTCTCCTCTGCAACGGACACCTGGGGCAGAAGAGGAAGGAAGAGATCCAACACAACTGCATCCACCGGTTTGTGGCTGGGTTTTGCAGAGTGTTGCTGTGGAGATGTGCCATTATGCCATATTTTCCTTTTGTGCTATTTACAGGACACAGCTGCCTTTGAATTCGATCATATTAACAATATTCTGTTTCTTTACTCGTGTTTTGCTTCTGAGCTTAGAGTTTGCTTGGAACAGACTTTTTTCACAGAGTCATATACACAACCTCTCATT